CCTTAACAGCAACCCAGGATTGAGTGCATAGTTTCGGGGAGTCTTGTTCTCAGCCTTGCAACGGAAAAGCTACAACATCTTGCATAATGATGCAACCTATGTGATGAAGCAATATGGTTTATCCGGTTTATTTCACTAAACCCTAAACCCTAAACCTAGAGAATTTATTGGTCGTGGAAATCCTAGACTTCAAGAAGATGCTGGCTTAGGCTGCAGAACTTGGGATGTTTTCGGCAAGGTAAAGCATCAGAGAAATGGGGGCTTCCCAAAATTGGGGTAGTACCTTTCAAGCCTTATAGTATTTGGGGGCTATATTGGGGTCCCCCTATTCCGGGAAACTACCAAATGTGGCGGGCTCAATGTCAAGATGCAAGTTCACTTTGCTTTGTCCTGTAAGGTAAGGGTTTAGGTTCTGTAGGACACTATTTCTGCACAAGCCTAGGATGCAACTTGCAGAACAGAAATGTGCTCTATTGCTTGACCTCCCCAACCGGTCCCTACCAAGCCCTGGTGCACCCCTTTGTCCAACCACTATTTGCGCATGGCACGTCGTTGAACCTAGTGGACGCACCGCATGACTGGAGTTGAGGTGGGGAAGCCGATGTCTGAGTAGTGTTTTTTTGGTGGCTAAACCTAGCAAGATTATATTCCTTATATAAGATACTATACCCCGAAAGGAGGATGTAATCTTACTCTATATTGGGTACCATAGTATCCCCAAATTAAATACTACTCATCTGCCTTGTAGCTCTTGTAGGGCACTTTCTGGGCTTCCAAGTACTTTGAGGGAATGTAGCGGGAAGCAAGGTTTTCACAAGGCCGCTCCCCCCCCCTCAACCGTAAGCCCTCATCAACTCTTAAACCCTAATACTGATGAGGCCATAGACCCTAAAACTCGCAATCCTTGTGACGCCTTGAAGTTATGTAATCCTCAGGGACCCACAGTATAATCCTAGTTAGGATGTCAGAGGATAGGTTGCTTCGAGAAACCTAGCACGACTTGGTGGCGCTTGAAGGGGACTGGGCAAGTACTGTACGGGTAGTGAGGGAGCGCACTATCTTCCCCGGAGCTAAATGTACCACCTATATTCACTGCCCCACTCCTGAAGCACAGGTTGGACATTCTCGGGCCCCAAGAAGCACAAAGCCTGAATTTGCGGGGAGACCTGTACCATGACCTATTAGCTTCCAGAGAAAAGACCAGGGCCCGGAAACTGTAAACGCGTAGGTTGAGGGTTTAGGGTTGTGGTCTGGAGTTTAGGTTGGTTGGTTGATTTAGGGTTCAGGGTGTTTTTCAAAAGCACAGGAGGGGTTGTTCGAAGCAGGTGTAGGGAATCCCAGAGCCGTAATGTTGAAAATTGTGTGCCTAAACCCCAAAAGCATGTAAAATAATGGCCTTTATGGCTGTTATTAGGGGTGTAGGGCTATGATTTTACATACTTTTGGGGTTTAGGTAGGCCCCTAGAGCAGCCTTTAGGCTTGCTGTGCCTCTGCAAGTTCGCCGACCGGAGACGCTGGCGGAGCTGACGTAGACGTTGGGCGAGTTTCCTGCTAAAAACTTTGGTGCATGTGGCAGAAGGTCCAAGGGGTGTATACAGGTTAACCCTAAACCCTAAACCCCAAACCTTCTAGCTTTCTTGGCCAGGAAGCGCCAAGATAGACATGAAGAGGAATCCTGAATGTGGACCACTGTTCTCCTCTCATAAGCCATACATAATCTTAGGGTTTCGCCTGCTACCAAGTTCCAGAATCTTCAAGGATCGAAACCTAAACATGTTCGATTGAGTTAGGGCCTTGGGGGTTGCGGTGGGATTTCGTCTTAGCTGTGGTACTCAGGGTATCCCTTAAACTATCAACAGAAAACACAACTCTGAGGGTCCAAGCACCCAATAATCATATACTCAAGTAGCCAGCTATTGGGTACATAGACCCTTAGGGCAACAGAACCCTGAACGTTGTGGGTTTGGAGTTAGCCCTCAATCCCAGGAAACGACACCTAAAACCCTGAGAACCGATATCCGGGACTACTCAAACCCAAACCTTGAAAGGTAAAGCCCCGGACAAAAAATCCACACCCCTATCATGTGAGCACTCAATTGGCGAGTCCTAAACTTCCTAAACGCGACTTTCCATACTTTAAGATGAAAGCCCTGAACGGCAACATTGTAGACGTCATGAATCCTAACCCATCCAATTTCCAAACCCTGAAGCCCCAACACAAAGTGTGCATACTCTCTAAGAACCTTTCGTAAGCCCCCGAAGCCCCTCACAAAGCTCAAACAGCCGACCCACCCACCCCACCAAAACAACAGAAATGGATTGATAGAACACATGGGGGGAGGGTTAGGATGTAATTAGGGTTTAGAGTTGGGAGAACAATCCAAAAATTCCAGCCAAGCATCGCTCGATCGGCTTTTTGCTGCGCCTGTCGCTGCCTGCGGGCCGTCAGCTCTTGGGCTTTCCTTGCAGCGCGCTCGCGCCTGTGAAGGGCGGGGCTTAGGGGCTGAGAAAGTTTGGGGTTGGGGCCTTAGGTTTTGAAACTTGACATTTGAATGGGGTGAGGGCGGGTATCTGAGGGAATGTACTTAGGGATTACACTAAAGGGGGGTTAGTTTTTGGGGCTTAGATCTGGGTGGCAAGCGAGGTAAGATCGTGTTGAGGAATCAAGAAAGGCTGTAACTCATGTCAGAAGTTTCGAGCGGACCCCAATAGCTTGGAGCTTTGAATATGACAACCTCAACCCTAAACCGTATGTCTTCAAGGTCTCACCGCTTCCTCCAGCTGGGCTTTGCAATTGTTTTGATTTTTTGGGGGAGGCTTCCTTCATTTGTAGAAGCCATACTTTCCACCAAACGCTCATATAATCTGCACCAGTCTCAAGTCAGCATATGGAGAATTCGGGACCCATTTCAGACCGTTTGGAAACCACCAAACGAACAAGGAACCTCAAACGGGGCGTGTCGCTGACCAAAATGTTACGTTGGAAGAGGGAAATGTCGTCCACCCTAAACTCTAAACCGCTTCGGGGTGAGGGTTCGGGAATCTTATGGTCCCTTGTCACTATCAAAGCTCAAGAACTTGCCATGGATTATTGAACGCAAAGATGAATTTCCTGAATTGTCGGAGAATATCATATGAATACGCCTTTACGAAGCTTACCCTGAACCCTGAACCCCAAGCCCCAAACCCTAAACCTTCAACCCTAAATCCTTAACCCGACACCCTAAACCCTAAACGCTCACCCGCTCACATCCTCCGTAGAGGCTCCAGCGTGCGCTGCAGGCGCAGTTCAGCACGCTTCGCCGCCGGTTTCCAGAGGCTGCCAGGGATGTTAAATGCATAGCTTTACCTGCGCTATAATCTAAACTCCTGGTATCCTCTAGCTCACTTGGACCTTGACCTTAAAACTTGGTAAATAGATAGCGCAAAACCCAAACAAAGAGCCAAAATAAACACAATTCTAGACTTTGCTAGAATTCTCAATTACTTCTGTTATACTCTAGAAGCATGGACTTTGAATGTTTCTCACCATGTATCGCTAAACCCTGAAGAAAGAAGAAGATGACCTTGTACCTGAACTTGGTAAAACTTCTGCTACAATTGAAAATGCACTCCCATTCAAGGGTTCAGTAGTGACCCTGAGCTTTGAGAGTTCTAAGCTGTATCTCAGATCGAGGACCCCCCTTTTCCCTCGGAAATTTTCATTGGAGACCCGCAATCAAAACCATCACAACCCTAAACCCTAAACCCTAAATCCATCCCCCTATACCTTGCTCTGCAGGGGTAACTACCAATCACTGCAAGCTCCTGGCCCAAACGGGAAACAAGTAAGTCTTACTGGCTCTTAGTAGGGAATCTGGGATACATTTTTATGTATTGCGCTGATATGTGGAGTATATTCCCTTGTTCGTTACTGAGAACCAAAAAATTCTTGGCAACAATATCTAGGGTTTAGGTTTTAGGCATTGGGGTAGACAATGAATTCCGACCCTACGGGTGCAATTGCTCAATAATCATATCCTTACCCAAAACCTGCACTATAATTACTATGACCCAACTCCCAAATACCTAGTTGCTGGGTACTTGGACCCTTTGGGTAATCACCGCCATTCAAGCCAACAACCTTCAACCCTCGAATCTGCCAGCCCGAGAGCCCAAACAGTTTGGATCCGTATCTCCCCCAACCCCCCCAACCCCCCCAAAAAAAAACTGCATCACCGACCTTCCCTAACCCACATTTAGGACCTAAAATCCTAACATCCTGAACCCTGAGCCCTACATTCCTCAAGAGCACCAGCCAAGCCTTGCGAGCTGTGAATGACGCTGCTCTTGCCTTGGAAGAAAGGGCCCCCAGCCCTTCAGGTAGGATTTTTTGGCGAACCTTTTCCCTTCAGGTAGGGTTTATAGGGTTTAGACCCTGAGTGTCCCTTCTTTTTTAGGGTTTTGCCCAGAATTTTGTAGGGTACATCCCAAACAGTAGGATGTCCAGGGTCCAGATAAGGTGTGGCTTCGGGTTTCTGATTCGGGGCTGAGGGCGTAGAGGTTATCGTGCAGGTTCAAGGTTTACCGAGTTAGGATTGATTGTGTCTACTCGCGGCCTTATATTGGTGCGGGATTGGAACGCTAGAGTTCCTTGTAACAATTTTGGAAGAAAGCCAGAGTCGTCCCTTGTAGTAACCCGTATTGTTCCGGAGGCCCCAACTAAGTCCCTTGCCCCAGCATCATGCACATGCCCCACGATCGTAGGGGAAATTGAGACTTAATATGGGAGGTGTTGAATCATAGAGAAACGGGAGTATTTCAGTATTCTAGTAGGGGAGGGAGGATGAAACTTGTAAACACGTTCAATGAGGGCATGGCCCTGAACCTTGATCCCCAAACCCTACGTCCCAGCGTGGGGACAAGGGTGCCATTTGATTCATGGATTCGCCTTTGCCTCATGCTTTACCCTCAAGATCTGAAAGCTACCCGGTCAAATGTTCCGTTGCAGCAGATCGACATCCCTGGGCACGTGTCGGGCCTCAAGAGCTCCTATGCCAAACCAAAAGAGAAACCCAAATTCAGAGCACTCAAAACCTTTCTTGGGTTGCTCTTAAGGTACTTAACCTAGAGTACACTTTTGAATAGTAAGCCAGATTAATTCATGATATGTCCATACTATGGTAACTAAATTTGAGTTCCGATATGATAGTTTCCCAAATTAAGGGGACCCCAGTATAGACCCCAGAATACTATAATCCTTATCATGGGACCCCCAAAATGGTACCCCTGATCTAAGGAAACTCACATATAGCAGCAACCCAGGTCAATCCCTTCAACCCCTCGGCCAGGCTGCCTCCGAAGCCTTTTCTGCTCACGCGCCGCAGCTGCCTCACGCAGGGTATTGAAATTCATGGGCTGTCCAGTTCCTCTCGTATGCCTGACCCAGACCCCCCTAAAGGATCCAAAAAATGGAACCCCCCAAAATGACCCCCAATACTACGTTGGGGAAATAGGGGGGTTATTTGGGGGTTCCATTTTTTGGATCCTTTAGGGGGTCTGGGGAGTAGACCCTGACACTACACCCTCCTACCTGGACCCTCCAATGCAGTTCCCTTCCGTGCGTGGCATGGTTTTGGGGTTAGGATTCTTTTTAGGAACCACAACGGTACTACATGAGCTATAGTCTAAACTCCGAGTATCCTCCTTTGTAAGCCCATGATGCCCTATGTAATCCCCCTACATAACCCCCTTTAGGGAATTTAGACTAGTGCACATGGGAATGTCCAGACAAACAATTAAATCCTAAATCCTCCCCCTCGAGGCCTACAAGTCCCAGAACTCCTAAACCCTATAATCCCCAAGCCCCCAAAAGCTGTGAATCCTGAATTTTGAAACGTAAACCCTAAACCCTCATCCGTGTCCTTCTGCCGCTGCTCTTGCTTCAGCAACTTCAGCTTCTCGATGGCCTCTTTCCGTTCGCGCGCCTGCGCCCGGTTTTTCAGGAGTGTAGTGTAGGCTTTAAGGCCTTGAGTTCGGATTCGAGCCGTCATCAAGGACCTAGAGATGCATCCAAATAGGAGATGTGCCTCAGGTATAGAATTTGCATGAAAGCAATAGTTGGGGGGGAGGCTGTTGTGGTAAGGGGGCAGTATCCAAGTGCATTCTGATCCCTTGGGATATCCAAAACTCTGAGGTTGACTGGAGGATGAACGGCACTTCTTACTTGTATGGGGCCGCTCAACAAAGGAGTACTCGCATGGATCTTGATACAGTGCCCCTGCATTGACGATTGAATTCTGTGGGGCATTTCGAGAAGCTCGCGTATCGACAGTGGTGAACCCCAGACCCGCGGAAAAATTCGCCCTTCAGGACACTCGGATGAACATTTCGCAAAAACACAATGCCCCATACATACTCGCACGCAAACAGACAGGCCATCTTTTGGAGGACTCAAAGAGAAACTCAGTCCCAAATCCTGGAATCCTAAACCCTTAGCCCTACACCCTTAACCCTCCTGTAAACCATAAACCCTGGAACCTTGAACCCCCAAGCTCGCAAGGTGCCTGGGTCAAGAAGCTCTGGGAAAATTGCATCGCCTCCTTGACAGGCGAGCCAATAAGTTAGCAAAAGAAAGCTTGGCTCTTGCTTGCAGTGAAGAATGAAAAGGAGAGAGCAAACGATGGAACAAAAAAACAAGGCTGTGCAGAGGAGTTTAGTACCACTTCTTTCATGCTTATTCAGTTCATGGTACCTGTCACTGTTGCTATGTCTCTTGCAAGTGTTGGGAACTATATGATCGTTGGGTACCTGGACCATGTTGCGCAACTGCCTTTTGGGCAGCATCAGATGTTCGGAATGCAAGCTAACCTCTGCCTGTCAAGGCTGACTAGCTAACAAAAGGGCGACTTTCAGGTTCGCTGTAGCAGGCACGGATACGAAGCGCACCTTAACCCCAAGTGTCGCCTGAAAGCTCCTACTTGGCCCCGCAGAGAACGGTGAAGCCTTGCCTGCATGGTGTTCATCGAGATATGCAAGCTTTGCTTCCCCAAACCTTTTTGGAGCAGGAAACCCTAATCCCTGAACCCTAAGTGAGCCCCAAGCCGGAACGCCACCAGCCAGCCCCAACACTTGAAAGCTAAACCCCAAGCTCTGACTGTCAAATAGAAATCCTGGGCCCATGAGGCTCCGGTTCAGTCTGAGTGGTGTGCCCCTTAAACCCTGTCAATCCTGCAGGCCATGTAAACCTTTGACCAGGAACCAGGCCCTAAATCCTAAACCCTAAAAATTGGGTACTGCCCCCCTTCAGTAACAGCTAACTAATCATTAAAATATCGTTATATATAGCCTTTAATAGGACCCCTAAATAATGAAGACTATTACTGGGAGGGGGCAGTACCCAACCCAAAAAATGAACCTAAACCATACATACCCATAAACCCCAAACCGCCAACCACCCCATCTTTTTTGGACTCCTCTTGAGACTTTGCAGGTCGTCGCTTGTTGACCGTCTGTCGATGGGCCAGAAGAATATTGACCTTTCACAGCTTTGGGGCTTGGGTTGGGTTTAGTAGTGTTTGAGGTTAAGGGTTTAGGGCAGTGTTTGAGGAGAACTATACACTTGCAGACACAACCATGGTAAGTTTGAAGATTCCGAAATGCAAGCTCACGGCAGTGCTGCAGCAAACGCACCTACTAGCTACACAAAAAATCCTCACATTGGCTAAGCCCTTGCGTAAATACTCCTCAAATCTCCTCAAGGTGGGGAGCCTGAGAAAGGACATGTCCCTAAACCCATAAACCGGAAGGCCTGAACTCTGAACTCTCCCTGTAAACCTCCGAGGCCTTAGTCCTAGACCTTGAATCCCAAATCCCGGAAAACAAGCCGTAGATGCTACTTGTAAAGTCTAAATTTCAAACCCTGAATCACAAGTGCCAGCTCAAGAAGTCGTCTATATCAACTCCAGACTCAACACCTAAAATCTGAAAAATGAGTCCTACATACCTAGACCCCCCTCCTACCCTCTATAAGGACCTAAGTACCCACTATTAGGGACCATATATCCCCAATTAAGGGTACAAGGAGGGTCCTACATAAACTCAAGACTTCAAATTTTGGATGCCAACCCCTAGAATGCTAAACCGCAAACCCTGCTTCAAACTCTAGAACCCATGAACCTGAAAGCGAGCACAAGTTACCAGCTCCTCACCAAAGGCTTCCTCATTCGCCTTTTTGGGGTTTGGGGTTGGGATTTAGGGTTTAGGATATAGGGTTTAGGATTTAGGGCTTAGGATGTAGGGCTTTGGGTTAAGGAACTGGGGTTAGGCTTAACCAGGGCTTAGGGTTTCGGAATCTATTTGAGTTTAAGACTTTGGGGTCTACATGTCAGGTTTGCGTCCAACTTGGATTTTAGGTCTTCAGGCAGGGTCGACCCAAGATTTCACTCCTTTATGTCTGATTTAAAAGGTTACTGTCTCGGGTTTGGGTCAAAGGCTGGGGTTCGGGTGTCCAGGAGTCTTAGGGCTTTGGCCTTAAAGCCAAAAGACCTTCGGGCTGTAAGACCCAAAAGTACATGAGCTACGGACTAAATTCAGGTTGGGGGGTGACCTATAAGGGGAATACATAAGGTTTTAGGGGGGACCTATTACGGGATATACTACAAATTTAGTCCAGGCCTCACAATGGCAGGGTGAGGGCTTTGACATTTTTTGGGGAGAATGAGTGCAGGGCTTTCTGACTTGCTGTCAAGTTCTTTTCCGGAAAAAAATTGTAATAAGGGAGTTCACTCAAGTTTCGGCAATGCCCGGCTTTTAGTTGAGGTTTAAAGGTTTCGGTATCAGGGTTTGGAGGTTATGGTCTAAAAAATCCTGAATATACAATAGTCCCACTATTCCCAAGATATAATGTACTTACGGTCATGCAGGATTTTTAGTATCCACCGTAGTACTACTTGGCCCCGGTGTTGCTACTTCAACTACGTCTCATCTTCTGTTGCGGCTACCACTCACACATGGAATATCTGAAAAGAGACACGCCACAACGAAAGATGAACGCGACAATGCACAAAAGTAGGTCGCGCCAGAAATACTGGCGCCAGGAGTACTGACGACCGGCCTCGCCACCCTTGCATCCCTCTGATGAGATGCTATGCCCGGTGTAGTATAGGATCCCATTACCTAAAACCCGGCCCACCCAAGCACTTAAACTATTCAACCTGAGCCTATTATTCTCAAGCCGCGCTTAAGAGCTCAAAATGTAAGACCAAAATCCCAAAAGTATGCAAAATAATGGCCTTTATGGCTGTTATTAGGGGTTTAGGGCTATATTTTTTTTTATACTTTTTGGGTTAAGGGAACACCCTTTACCCTCCGCGCTTCTGAATGGCCCCTCGCCCCTACGCCGAACACGATTCTCTAAGCACCTTATGCCTTACCCCGGTTTAGGGTTTAGGGTTTAGGGGTTTAGGGTTTGGGGGTTTAGGGGTTTAGGGTTTAGGGTAGGGTTTAGGGTTGCTAGGAGGGAATGGAGGACTGGATCCCTATAGCCCCTATATGGGGAGCTTCTACTTCCTTCTCCATTCCCTGCTCACGAGCAGCAATCACGCCCAACATCCGGTGCTTTCGGGAGATTGGGGACATGATCCTTATAAGGAAACCAATACAATCTGCATATATGTATATATGAATATGTATATCCCTACATATCCCCATTTTAGTCCTTATAGCCCCTCCCTCACTCCACCTGAAGCAACAGGAAGTAAAGAAAAGCGGGCCTCACGAGCTGCAAACAGCCGCTCGCGATACTCCAAGGCCTCCGGCAGGCCTCCCAGACGTTGGGATGAGGGTTTAGGGTTTAGGGTCTAGGGTCTAGGGTTTAGGGTCTAGTTTTTTGGGGTCTAGGGTTCAGGGTTTAGGGTTATTCAGTGTTTTCAGGGGGTATACAAGGGTTTGGGATTTTGGGCTTGGGTTTCGGCATTTGAGGGGCTTATAATAGGGGCTTATAATAGGCATATGTAAGGCAGATACCTGCGGATTTTGACCTTGGGGTTTACGGATTGCGGGCTTCGGGTTGAGGACTTCAAGGATTTAGGGCGCTTAGGGCTTCGGGATTAGAGTTTAGGGTTTCGGGTTTGGGGATGAGGGATGTTGGTTTGAGGCCAAGCGCTAAAGGATTATGGATTAGGCGCGCCAGTTGTTTTTTTTCGGTTCGAGGCCGGTGCCCTTGTCAGGCATAGCCTGGGTGCCCTTATCAGGCACAGCCTGCCACCTTTCCGTAATGCAAGGGTAGATGCCTGGAGGCTGTGTCGGAAAATCTAACTCTATGTAAGTATGAGACATTTCTGTCAGCAGCGATAATTGCAAAACGAGCTTGACCACCGGCAGCAACAGCGAACAAAAGCAGACGTTAAGGATGATAATGAGAAATTGCCGAACGGTTCCCACTGAGAAGAGGGGGCATGTAAATATAAGTTAAGGATATCCATGTTCATTTGAGAATTATTTGAATGGGGTGACTCGCCTCGATGTCTGAAGTCTGAAGTGTCAGTGTCTCTAAGGCAATTGGCTAACTTTCATGTGCGACACAGCGTCACAGCAGCATGTTTCCACAATTCCCTCTCGAAGCAAGAAAGCTCGGCCTCTATTACGTCATGACCCTGAGCAGCGTCAAGGGTTTCCGTGCCATGGACTACATTGACCCTGAGCTACCCTTAGCTCAGCTCAATCGATACAGACTGCATCGATCAGCCAAGAGCACAGCCCACAGCTAGCCCTACAACTCCATGAAAGGATCGGCTTAATGACCATAATCAAACCGAGTGCAGAAATGGGGACAACAGCGCTTTGACTAACCCTTGCCAACCCTGAACCCTATAAAGCCTACCTGGGCCCCAAAAGTATGTAGAATAATGGCCTTTCTGGCTGTTATTTTGGGTTTAGGGCTATTATCTTACACACTTTTGTGTAGTTTAGGTAATCTTTCTAACCTGCAACTGAGCCCGAATTTCTCGAGAGCCAAGGTACTACTCGTACTGGGGCTGGACAACTTTACCCCGAATGCGCGCATGTCCTCGGCAAAGAAGCTGATGCCCCAAGACATTCCGCGAGAATAAGACTGTAGGAATTTGATGCCCCAACTAGCATGAAGCCTCATCAACGGAGCTCTACGTCTTGATAAGGTCCCCTTTGGGGGAAGCGGACGTAGGTTTAGGAGAAACCCTTCATGCTTGGCGCAGCAGTGTTCATGTTGGTTTTTAAACACAGCAAGGTCATCTTCTCTTTCTAGGCACGTGGGAATGGGCGGCCTACACAAGCCCAAACCTACATAAACCAGAACTAAAGCCTTATCCCGCGTCTTGAAATCCTCAACCCTGAACCCCCAAAGCCTTCAAGTAGAGTGGGATTCGGGTCGTTTTGTGCCAGAATAAGACAAGGGTCATAAAGGAATAACACAGGCTTCTATAGCAAACTGAGACCACGCCAATCCTGAACAATATCACTCAACCCCATCTCCCCCGCCCTTGCTTTTAGGAAGAGTTTGTCTGAGCAGGATCGCCCAGCCGCTACATGTGGCATAACAGAAATAGGCAGGGACCTTACTGAAACAAACAATATCCTTACGGTCACTATTCGTGTTGGGTGTCCTTCTTAAGTATCTCTCAAAACTTGAAACTAAAACTCCAAGCATTCTATCCGGCAGCCCGAAACAATTGAATCTTGAAAGGTTCAGTGCGAGTGAATAGAATATGGTGTATATGGAGATCTTATTACAATATACCCAAAGCCATATTCTATCTACTTAAGGGGGACTATAGGTTTCAGGGTCTAGGGCTTGCCCTTTCTTTAACAAATCTAAGCTGACCCTACACCCTAAACCCCCCTGAAGCGCGACCAAGATAGGCAAGCTGCAACATAAAACGCCACCTTCATGGCTTTCAGCTCCTGCCGAAAAACAAGCATCTGAGTAGTGCTTTTTTGGTGGTTGAACCCAGTAAGATTATATTCCTTATAAACAATACCATACCCCAAAAGGAGGATATAATCTCACTCTATATAGGGTACCACAATATCCCCAAATAAGATACTGCTCATCTTAGGGTTTAGGGAAAGGCATCTTCAGGAAGCCCTCCCTCACTACCCTACCATCTCGTATGCGAAGGGCCCCAAATATCTGATAAGCCCAGAATTCGCCAAATATAGGATCCTCTTGGCATCTTCGGGGTTTTGGCGGCCTTTGTAGCTTGTAGTCAGTGGGATTCGGGGTAGAGAGGCTTAAGGTCTAGGGGCTCTTTAGGGTTTAGGGCTAAGGGGTTTAAGACTTACAGGATCTGTAGGCTGAGGTTTGAGGTGTAGAGGGTTTCTTCCTGAGCCTCAGGGTTTGCGGTCTAGGGTTCGTGTTCGGGGTCTAGGGATGCCAAGTTGTACCAGGCTGTGGGGCAAAACCCGGAAAACCTTGCTTGCTTGGAGGGTCCAGTATGGGCTATTAGACCCTAAACTTCCCAATTAGTACCTTAATAAGGGTAGAATTCCCTACTAGTACCTCAATCAGGCTAGAATTCCTTCTTAATTAGTACCTTGATAACGGTTTTTAATTCCGTAGTAGTACCTTCATGAGGGTAGGCTAGGGGCCATTTAAGGTCAAATAACCTATCCTCGGAGGGCACGTTTAAGGAGATCTGTGGCAAGGTTGCAGCTGGTCTGTGGGCTTAGGGTCCAGCGTTTAGGGCAGCATCAACACTACCCAAACCACAAAAGTATGTAACATAATAGCCCTAAACCCAAAATAACAGCCACAAAGGCAATTATTCTACATACCTTAGGGGTCCAGGTATATACACCTCAGTCAGACTATTTGCAAACCGAGGGATGGTTGTAGACAAACACAGATTAGTACGATGCATAATGCTCATACGGCACAGTACTCGCAAAGACAGCAGCAATCGGAACAACGCCCCGGCGACGAGGGCAAGCCTGAACTTTGGAAGCAACTATACTCACCAGTTGTTGGTAGGAAGGAATGGGAACTGTGGTTCAGGGTTTTTTGGTTAAGGGTTTGAGGGATTGATGTACGGCTCCCATCCCTACTAACCGCCAAAAGGTGTAGGGTAAGCTTCAATCCCAACTCCCTCTGCCCAGGTTAAGGGTTATGGGTTCGGAGGACCCCCCACCCTGTAATAGTGATATAATAGGAATATATGAGGACCCCAATATAATCCCTATTATCCCCTACAGTCACTATTACAGGGTGGGGGGTCCTCCTAAGTTATGGGTTTAGGATTAAGGTTTTAGGGTTTCGGGTATAGGGTTTAGGGTTCGACCACAAGCCACACGCCCTAAACCCGAAGTCCAAAATGCCCAAGCTCCAGACCCTACAAGCCTTTTGTCACTCTTGCGCCAGGTTCTTCGGAAAAGGAGCTGATAAAAAAAGGGATATATGGGCTTCCATGATACTTGAGTGTAAACTCTGAATCCAAAAGCCAAGAAAAGCTAAGTATGAGAGAAACAACGCCACCTCAATATACTGTAGTAGTTTCCATTTGCTTTTCCAGTATTCCCAATATGTACGCCCCAAACCCTGAACCCTAGACCCTAGACCCCCGAAACCCTAAACTCTAAACCCTAAATGTCAAAACCCCAAACTCCAAAACCGTAAAGCCGAAAATCCCCAAACCCTCAACTCCGAATGCCCAAACCCTAAACCCCCGAACACCAAAATCCCTAAACCCCAACACCCTAAACCCCTGCACCTCATCACGAGTTTCGCAAGCCTTCTTGCACGCCTTGCCCATACGAGCCACAGTCTAAACTTCTGCAAAGGGGGTATACATCTGTAGGGCTTAGGGTTTAAGGTTTAGGTTTAAGGTTAAGGGTTTAGGGCCTAAACTCCTTAAAGGATTATAGCAAGGGGGATACTAGGAGTTTACAGTATAACTCATGTGGCAGTTATAGCTCATGTGGCAGTTTGCTTAGGGACCAGAGAGCTTTTGGTTTGGTTTGTCAAAAGTACGGAATACCTCAAATCCAAAAACATCAGTCTTGGGATTCATACAGGGGTTTATGATATATGGTCCATTAAGCCTGAAGTTCTTTCAACTTTGAGGCTTCTTGATCCCAATTTGGGAGGGTTCTCTGCAGCTGGGACTCCATCATTTGAGGGCCTATTCGCCGCAGACCCTAGACATCTTTGAGCATGCCGGATTCATGTGCAGGTCAGGGGTTACGTGCTTCATGTCCCTAAACCCGAAACCCTAAGCGCTAAACCCTTACAAGCCTGAAACCCTAAACGCTACTATCAGGACATGAAACCTTAGCCCCTCAAGCCCTTAAAAACCTAGAACCTTAAACTCCTGTGCCTCAGACCAAGCCAAGCCCGGCTGACCCGCAACTGTCCGCTCCACCTCCAGAAAGGCGTGGGCTTTCCCACAAGGTCTGTTAGCGACATATACATATATATGTATACAGATATTACATATATGTACATGCACACGATTTACTGTTTCAAGCTTAGATATAGTATATGTATATACATGTATGCCTTCGGGTTTGGGTTGGTGGAAAGATTTGAGATTTCCTGGAAATCAAGGCTCCTTAGGCCACCTTGAGGGGGTGACGCATCAATAAAAACATGCTACGCATCTATGAAAAATGAGCAAAAAATCAAGAAACACATGAACATGCGCCTGGCATCAAAAACATGAGTTGATAAGCATCAAGAAAAATTTGAGGGCCATAAGCCTCTAAATTAGCAAGAAGAGAGAGCAAGGGGAATAGTACTAGCCGTAATACGAATACGGACAAGAATAATAGTAGCAAAACACATAAGAACAAGAGCCGCGAAGCCAGGGGCCTGTATGTCATGCAGAACAGTCCCAAAAGCCAGGAAAGCCAACAGGCCAAGAAGCCAGTGGAACGGCTCAAACTCTTTTTTGATGCTTGTCAAAAAACTTTCCATACTTGACATATGTTTTTTGATTCCTTATCATATTTTGATGTCTATGCCACCTTCAAGAGGTTTTGGGAATATTCCGGGCTTAGGGTTCAGGGTCTATAGGGTTGCGGGAAGGTTCGGTGACTGTCAAAAACAGGATCTTGGGAACCTGTATCCAGAAAGATTTGGTGAATTGCATATAGAAGGAGCCTCTACGCTAAACCCCAAGAGTTCAAGACCGACCACTTTGGTTTACTTGGAGGGGGACTTAGTAAGTAGGTTAATAACCCCTATAACCCATACAGTAACCCTAAATATCCCCATTATTAACTTACTTACTAAGTCCCCCTGACCCTAAACCTAAACCCGAAGCCCTAAACCCTAAACCCTAAGCCCTACGCCCTAAACCCTGAACCCTAATGACTAAGTAGGGCTTGGACTAGGGTTAGCGGTTTAGGTGGAGAGGAGCACTCCGCAGCCTCGTCTCGAATCTGTAGGAAAATGATGTGAAAGTCAACGGCTTGCTGAATGTCGGAGCAATACTTCGACCTCAGGTGATAGTTCCCCTAAATCCTAAACCCTAAACCCCTAAACCCTCAAAGAGTCAAGTTGAATCGCTAAGACCCGGGCTGACGTTGATAGGTCTGTTTGTGTTGAAAATGGATCCCTACATGACTTGTAGTTACCTTGTCCTCAAGTCAGGTATCAGGGTTCTCTATGTGATCTTTAATGCGTTGCCTAAGGATCGAAAGCCTAGTAGTTCGGCGCCAAGAACAAGAAGCCTATCGACTTGAGGGACTCCCATTTGGACAGCAAGGTTTCTGGCCACGTTAATATGAGCTATATAGTGTATGCTCCGAGTATCCGCCTTAGTAACCCCTATAATACTCCCCTATCTAATCCCCTCATATAATTTTCCTTTAAGGAGTGTAGACTATAGCTCATATGTTGGATGAGGTATGGCAGATTCCTGAAGGCGTGACAGGCCACAAGTTACATGATTCAGACAACGGTTCAAACTTCAAGAGGCTAGGGTGCACCCTAATCAGTGCACAACAACATGCGCTTTGCGCAGTTCTAACGCATGTGATAGAACGTCTAAACTCCCAGCATCCCCCTTAGTAATCCCTCTAAAGTAGTCCCCTAGAAAATCCCTTATAGAACCCCTTTGAAGGAGTTTAGATTATGGCTCAGTGGTATCACTCCGAAGAACGCACGCTTTAGAGCTCCAGGCTTGGGGCTTTAGACTTTGACAATCTGTGCGAGATTCCTGGCGAACTTGGTGTAAGGCATGATTCTTGCAAACACTGCTCTACAGAGCTTATTTCAGGCCCTAAGCCCTAAACCCCAGTGCTTAGGCTTAGGATTTAGGATCCTCGGCATCTACTCTGAACCCGAAGCTATAAACAAAACCCTGCTTACCATTCGAGACCCGCCTCGCCCCAAAAAGATCCTTAATTACCAAACCCAAGACCTCAACACTCTGACACCCCCATATCCTAACACGCAGGCCCAAAGCTTGCACTTCTGCATGTACCAAGAAGCCTGAGAGTGAGGTTGTCAAAGCACACCGCTGCCTGGAAAGTTTAAGCTCTTCTTGAGGGTTTAGGGTTTAGGGGAACATAGGAGTTGCGCCCCAGAATTAGCCCAGTTATCGTGGCAGAAAATCAATTGAAAAAGAACTTGAACAAATGAAATGGAAACCATTGGTCCAGTTGACGGGCTATAAAGGGACCATGGCCAGAACTGCCATGGTAAAGCTTGAGTCCTGTAGACCCTAAACTCTACTCCTAGAATCGTCCTTCGCCCCCATTTCCCGATGCATGTAGCCGAACCATGGAGGAAACGGAGCTTAGGTGGACGGCCCTAAACCCGAAACCCTAAACCCTTGAGTTGTAATGGTTTACGTTTTCGGGGTTTGATGGCTTCGGGGCTGAGAATCTGAGAGCCCAGCGTTTTCAGCATAATTAACCCAAAGGGTCGGTTTGGGGTTCAGGGTTTAAACCAAAGGGTCCACGTAGCCGCACAGTATATACTTGGGCCCCAAATCAGGTATATGGAAAATCCTCTTGGCCTTAATTAAGTGTATACGATATGCTTACATGGACCCTTCCGTTTAACCTTACACCCTCAAACCTAAACCTGAGTGAACGATGGATTATGCCTACATGGACCTTTTGGTTCAGGCTTCGGCGAAGGGCTCCAGGCTTTCGGGCTCAGAGTGTAGTTGTCTAGGTTGGGAACTTAAATAAAGTTACCAGAATTAGGATACGTAGCAAATGAAAGGGCAGGAACTTTTTAAGCTCCTTAACAGCAACCCAGTTCTTTGTGCCTATAACAACTTCGTCAGGGATATCAAGGAAACTTCTATATGGTTGTTGGTACCCTGACACTTACACAAAATGTTTCTCTCGACAGGGCTTGAAAGTCTTCCTCTTTTTTGTCAGACCTCCCAAGTTTCAAGATTTGAGGCGTCAACCGCGATTGAAGCTCCACGGTTTCTTGGGCTTCTCGCCGTTTAGGGTACAAGCCTTTTGAAGTTTATAGATCGATGTCTCAGACTGTACGTGAGAAATAGGCCACGCTGGTCAGAATTTGAGCGCGCCCACCGTTTTGGTGCCGACCATTGCAACATGAAGGCCAGCGAGAAAATCGATCCCCTACTTGACACCCCTTGCTGAAAAAAAGGAGGCCCCTTGCCATGTACAGATATAAAAGAGGGAACGATCATGCGCATGGAAATGAAATTGACTTGCTACTGGTATGTGTGGGTGAGCAAAGAAACCCCAAGCCATCAACCTCAATCCTTCATGATCTGATGAGCTGAACTGTAGGATGCCCCCTAGGGCCCATAAGCCTTATCATTGGAATCTTCCTAGCCTGAACTGATCACCAAGCCCCAAGACCCAAGCCCCAAAAAGAGTTCCTGGGTGCCTGATAGGATGTGGTCCGCGACCGCGTGTCGATTCGCTTGGAAACGCCACGGAGCCCAGTACGGCCCCAACGACGCTTCGATTTCGATGTTGGTTCCTGAGCTTTTCATGCGACCCTTTGCATTTCTTCTTCTTTTGTTCATACCATGCTACCGCTGCCGCTGCCACCACCAAAACCGACACCAACACAACAACAACTACCACCACCATTGGCACGGCTTTAAGCCATGTCAAATCCATGGCAAACCTACAAATATGGTAGTTTCACAAAATAAGGGACCCCAATGTGACCCCCAAATTACTCTAATCCGTAATATGGGGACCCCCAAAAAGGTACCTCTAAGTTCGGGGAACCATAAACCCTAATCCCTATTCTGAACTCTAACCCCAAATCCCTAGGTTATTTAGGGAACCCTACATACAAGTAGGCCATGCGCGGCTATGGTAACCTGGTACTTGCCTCATTCATCAGACCAAGTAATACTGATATGAGGGATAGTCTAAACTCCTAGTACCCCCTTAATAAGCCCTAGTACCCTCTATAATCCCCTCTAAAACCCTCTTTAAGGAATTTCGACTATAGCTCATATAGCGTCACTGCCGAAGTTGTCAACTCGGAGACCCCAAAAGCTACACCAAACTCCCTGAAGCCCAGAAGGATATAGAAAAATTGCCTTGTGGGTTGGCTCAAGGAGTTTCGGGCTAGTATTCTACCTGCGTTTCAGGTCTAGCTAAACCTTCGACCACCCACCTCGAAACTCCAAACCCCAAGCCGAAACTTAAAGGGCTTGAGGTTCTTGGACCCCCGGCCGCCAAAGACAAACTAAACGCCCTGCAACACAAATCCTAAATCGCAAGCTCCGAAACCCTAAGCACATAAACCCCTGAACTCCTAAGCCCCCCTATACAACCTCTATGTATCCTCACCCCTTTCTGCCTCCGAGCTTCGTCAGATGTTGCAGGCCCCTCCAGCTCCTTCACAACCCCGGGCAGAGTTTGAGATTTGGGGATTAGGGTTTAGGGTTTAGGGATTAGGGATTTGGGGATTTGAAGCACGTAGGGTTTAGGCTGTAGGTTTTTCTGGTGTCCATGCTACCTGCTACATAGGCTGCTGCTTGGGCAGGCTGTTTGGTGGAAGTTGTCAGCAGTGGTCCGCTCCGAGACATCTGTGAAGATGTAATGTGGCACCCCTTTTAATGATGGGGGGCCCCCCCCC